AGACTGTTGCTAAAGAATCAAAAGCGGAGCAAGTGACACCTGAGCAGGTGTTGAAAAGATCATCCAGAGCCATCAGAGTACCAGATAGGTATGTACCTTCTTTACGCCATCGGTTGCTAACTGATGAAGAGGAACGAGAGCCCCTTGATGAGGCCCTACAGTTGGAGGATACAACCAAGTGGGAGCAAGCTATGGATGATGGTATGTCTAGGCTTCATCAATGCGTTGCTCTTTCATCTGTTGAGGCTGAGTACGTGGCATTAGCTGAAGCTGGAAATCAGATGATATGGATGACAAACTATCTAGAAGAATTAAGCAAGAAGCAGTGCGAGAAGATTCTTCATGTAGATAGTTAGAGTGTATTGCAGTTGACGAGAAACCCAGTCTATCATTCAAAGACAAAACACAGAAGGTGATACCATTTCACTCGGAGGTTAATGAAAGATGGTGATGTGTTTGGAGAAGATAAAGGGTGCAAGGAATCCAACAAACATTTTGTGTTGATGTTGGAACATTGAGGTTGTGCAAATCCTCAAGTGGTATGGTATAGATTAAGAATAGAATTCTTGGTTGACTGGATTAATCTCCAATTGGAAGATTGTTGGGGTTGACTTGATCAGTATCTCTAAGTGTGAGATTGTTGAGATATGGAGCATGATGCCTAGATCTGGTGGTAGAGATATATTTGAAAGATATTTGATAAAGATTTGATAAAGATATATATGGTAGATATTTGGTAAAGATTTGATAAAGATATATTTGTTAGATTATATCTACTTTTTGAAAGCTAGATTTAGTAAATTGAAACTATATTATAACTCATTAGTCAATGCTCTCAAAATGTACTTTTCTTCATTCTCTTTATTCTCTCTTGTTGTACATATTTGATACAACACCCCTAATTTTGTAAACCTAATTAGTGACGTCACCCATGTATGCATAATTTATTAAGCAGAAACTCATCATAAATAACCTCGTAAAAACACAACAAAGTCTTTCATAAAAATTCAGAAATCCAAAAACAAATTTATCTACGAAAATAAAATCTTCAGTCACTGAATTCAAAATAAATCTAAATAAAACAATATTGAATGTTTTACCTTAAAACACAATCAAATAAAAGTAAATTCCTAAAAATATCCCCTCTCCAACTTCCATGGTGTCCTCAGCTCCGCCGTCAATCGTACACTGGCACCTTGCCTTTACCTGAAAAATGTAGGTAACACGTGGCTTGAGTATTTTATGAAATACTCAGTAAGTCACTCCACTGTTGGGGTTAGGAATGCAAACACGTGCAACATATGAGCGGGACCTAACTTTTCATAAATTTTACATATTCTTGGGCGCTTTTCTATTTCGGGTAGGGTTGGGTGTGTGGTACTCCTTCACACACGGCCCATGTACGTGTACATGAACCCACCAAGCAGGCTCATATACGTACCCGATGGGCCTAGCTTGGTCGGGCACAACGTATTACACGTCGCCGGACACCACAGAACAAAAAAGGGTCCGCATGATATCATGGCGAACATAAATATCGTAATTCATTCTTTCGTATCATAAAGGGGAAGATTTTCGATGCACATGACATACATATATGCATGGGGTCCCTTAACATATCTAACATGGCATTACATAAGCAATGCTAACATCGCATATACGTTTCTTACATTACATGACATATTACATAACATGAAAGTACATTCCAGTTGCATAAACATTTCATGACATTACTCGATAATACTACATGTATCCATGGCATCGATCAACATTTTCATGGCATATATTACTAACATATCATTCATAACTTCACATAACATAAAACAGTCAACAGTCAACATAACTCATTACCTTTCATAGCATAAACAGTCACATAATTCATACATCATATAGTCATATCACATAATAAAACATGGTGCATGCAACGGCCACAGGGCACGCACCATCATACAACACGTAGTAAGCTAACTCCAATAGTAAGGTCACTTACCTTGATGGCTTTGGCCGAAGTCACTCGCTAACCCCAATGGTTAAGTACGTCCTATAATAACCACATAAAAACTTAGGAACCTTTCATAAATGCCCTAGCTAAATCTCATGCTATTTATCAAAATAAACTCCCGACTCAATCTGTCTTTGATGGTTAGGAATCACACTGACCTTAAATGGTAAAACTAAGGGCAGAAACGGCTTCAGAAGGGCCGAAAACCTTGGAATCAATATATTATAGTGATACCGAGCCAATAAGCCGAGCTGCCGAGCCGACCAACTAAGCTACCAAGCCGAGCTGCAGGAATTGACGGAACTGAGTCGACGTACACGCCAAGCTGAGTTCCACTGGTCACGCAGCGTCTTTGACACAAGCACGACGATCCCGACGTCTATATCTTACTTCCACTCGAATTTTTTTTTTCCTGAAATATCAACCCTAATGTTCCGAGAGAATATCGTCTGATGTAAAAGGTTGGGCATAAGAATATAAAAATAATCTCAAGACATTTCCCAAGGCATTCTAGGGTTTTAGGATAAGGAAACTTAGAGAAATAGGAATGTGTTTATTAGGCAATAGATGTCTCGCATAAATCCCTCGATTTTCGGGGAGATTACATTTAATTATTTATTTTATTTTTATTTGATTTTATTTTATTCCAGAAACTTGAATCGTTACATCTGAAGTCTTTAATAAAACCTTTAGCCAATATTCCTCCTTGTATTTTCTCTCTCTTGTTCTTTGTGTTTATCTTGATCGAGTGTGTGCATTGTTGAGCGATCCTAACAACTGATATCAGAGCTAACAACTGGTATCGATCCTAACAACCATTATGCAGATTAAGCCCTTTAACATATTCTAACTCGATAATGTGGGCCCATATAGGTTGAATCGTGCTCCAAGGGTAGTTTCAGACTAACACCAATGATAAGATAGTAACTTCGGCTAGGTCAACCAAGTAAGTGACTTCACTGTTGACTTGATTGGACAAATTGTGTGACATGTGATGATATGTGCCTCGTAGCCTTACATGTGTCATGATTATGATTGTTTTGACATGTACTGTGATGTGTTATGCTATCTTATGCTATGTTATGTCATGTTATGTTTTCCTATGTCATGTCATGTTATGTTATGTCGTGTTATGTTATGGAAACACTTTCTTGCTATCAAACATATTCTTTGCTATCTATGTTAAGAGAACACTCTACTTTGGTCTTACCTTTCGCTTATCTACTATTCCTAGTGCGCTAATGGCTTATTGGGATGCTCATTGGGCTGGTTGTCCCAATACTAATCGTTCTACGTTCGATTATTCTATTTATCTCAATAACAATCTCATTTCTTGGAGTGTCAAGAAGCAACCTATTGTCTCATGCTCCAGTTGTGATTCCAAGTATCGTGCTCTAGACATGAATGTTGCTGAACTTTTTTGGCTTACACATCTTTTGCATGACCTCAAGGTTCATATTTCACAGCAACCCTTTAATTAATCTTATATGACAACAAAAGTGCTATTCTTTTTAGCTCTAATCTCGTTTCTCACTAGTGGGTCAAACATGTTGAATTAGATTATCATTTCCTTTAGAAACTTCTTGTCACTGACAAACTTTGCACATAATATGTACCTTCCATCTTCAGGTTGCTGACATCTTTACAAAAAGTGTTTCTCGACCTCTCTTTAAATCTTTCAGATCCAAGCTTTACATTTGCTCAAATCTGACGTCCAGCTTGCGGAAGGGGGTTGTTGAGGATATTTAGCTTTAAATTATGGTTTAACATATGTATCATATTTGACCATTTATTATAGGTAAATATCTTGTATGATTGAGAATATTCAGCCTTCCATGACGTTTACGTACCATATTTGACCCTTTATTACATGCAAATACAGTGATCCATTTATGTTTCTTTCCATTTGATCTTGTAGATGATTATAAATAGAGAACTTTCACCTCATTTAGGTGCGGTGGTTTTAGCAAATATTCTTAGGCTTGATTGGACGAATTGTATGACGTATGATGACATGTGCCTCATAGCCCTTGCATGTGTCATGATTATGATTGTTTTGACATGTGCTATGATGTGTTATGCTATGTTATGTCATGTTATGTTTTTCTATATCATGCCATGTTATATTATGTTATGTTATGTCATGTTATGTCATATTATAATATGATTATGTCATGTTGTGGAATTATATTTATGATTCGTTGATTCATGAAGCATAAACCTCCATACACCAAGCCAAGTAAATTATGTTAAGTATGAAAGCTATGATATATGGATTATGTATGCATGTTTCATAGCCTTCGTTAGGGTATGAATGAATAGAGAGGTATGACTTGTATCACAAACTTATGTCATGAGTTTAAGCTATGGGGATCTCATGCATTTATTTATATCAAGTGCATTGAGATACATTCTCGTTTAATTAGTACAGACGTTTACCTTACGATATTATGTTCGCTATGATATTATACGAGTTTTTTCCTCTATTGTATCCGGTAGCATGAGCTTGTGCTAGATCAACGAGCCACGGGCAGAGATACGTATATGAGCTTGTCTGGTGGATCCATGTACACTTGTGTGGGTTGTATGTAAGGAAGTACTACATATCCAACCATGTCTGGACAGGAAAGCAAAGCTCAAGACCGAGGATAAGTCCTACCATATTACATGGGATTGCATTTTTTGACTCCAATAGTGAGTTACTTATCGAATATTTATTAAAATACTCCAATCATGTATTACTCTTATTTTTTAGGTAAAAATAAGAACCCGCTACACAAATGACGGGAGCTAGAACTAGAAGGAAAAGGTGCCAGTGAAAAATTCAAAGAGTTTGCTTACACTAGCAACATGTTCATTAAACTTGGTTGTCAATTTTTAAGCTTCACATTTGGTTGCACCTTCCTTTCCTCTCATTTTTTTGTAACATAGCATTCTTTAGCGTAATGTTAAAAGGGCTTAAGGTATGTTTAGTCGGGATAATCTTAAATAAAAAATCAAACCATATTTGTATTTCATATTTTCATATAATTTGTTTTACTCTCATCTACACATTGGATCACAATTTAAGTATGCTAAGTTTCAATACAAACTTCACAAACAAACCCAGCAGCAGAGCTACTTGCAACATTCTGACGGTGTCGCGTGCAATATGGCTTATTACAATGGTTGCATTTGGGAAGCTGAAGCCAACAACTTGTACACAAGACACCTACACATACAGCCTCCTCTGTTTCATCACCATCTACGCATCCGCCGCATTCTTCGCACCTTGGCACGCAACCACTGCAACCTCGGCACTCTGCCCCAAATTTCTGCTCTTGCTTTATCTTGCATCTCTCCCTTGAGCAGTCATAAACTCTCCCCATCTCCTGGCATTTTGGGCACATTTCTACATCAATCATTGCCACGCATTCGTTCCTTAACAACTTCGATGCCTCAATGTCCTTGTGGTACAGACGACGTTGTTGCTGTTGCTGTTGCTGTTGTTGCTGCGATCGGTTTTTGAGAAGATAGTACTTGAGGACTTCAAGGTGTTCATTCTCTATGTTGTAAATGCCACCAATCATTAGGCTATTCAAATTGTGAGAATGTTGTGATAGAGTCTCCACTGCCCGAATCACTCCCTCAGGAGTCAAACTCGTGCAACCAGGTACGTAAAGCTGAATCAACCAGGAAAATACTTGAGATGTTCTGTTTTAAGGTTGTAATTTGATGCACAAAATCTGTTTGATGGGATAAGTTTTAAAAGAAGATTTAACCGATATAGGAATCCCAATTAGCCACCGTGATATGATATTGTCCACTTTGAGCACAATTACTAAAAAAACTTCATTCCATTGTGAAGAATCGTAATTCCTAACATGGTATCAAAGTCATGCCTTAAACTTAGCCATGTCAATACAATATGTAGTTAAAAGTGATTAAAGTGCAGCTTTGTTCAAAGGCTCTAGAAAAGGAGTCGAGGCTCAATCAAAGGGTTTTTTTCGAGGGCTCCATAAGTCTCAAGGGAGGCTCTATAATTACTTTGTTTAAGGGAGGATTGTTGGAGAGTCCCATGTCTACTAATTTAGGGAATCATTATGAATTTATAAGTAGAGAATAAATGGCTATAACTCTCTCGGAAATTGGAGAAATTATTGATAAAGATTAAGCAATCAACGCAAGCATTTAAAGGAAGATGTAAATACCTTGGTGAGAAGGGGATTGTTCTGAACGACTTCGTGAAGTGCAGAGTCTGAAATCTTGAAGCAGTTGATCAAAGCCAAGGTTCGAAGGCGGCCATCGGCCTTTCGGGCAATTCGCCCCAGAATGTAATCGTTTAGCCGGGAGCTCAAGGGCCGATCGACGACGAGATGAAGCCATGGCAACACATCGTGTTCCACTGCGTCTCTTAGCGATACGCAGACTGCGCCCATGGAAAGAAGCTCAAATAGAGGAAGATAACTCAGTACAAGAAATAACGCCTCGTGCGGTGGCCCTGCCGCGATTCCAACTCCGGGAGATGAACTGCCGCAGACGGCCACCTGATTTGGGAATTTCTTGTTCTCAGACATGTCAGAGAGCTCTTCGCCTTCCTTCTCTTCCGGCAGATCAGGGAAATACCCAATTTCCTAGCTTCGAACGTCAATGAGTTGCAGTAATGAAATGATAGTAGAAAGAAAGTCGATTTATCCATTTATCAACGGTTGTGTTTTGTCTGAGCTGGTCAACTAACTTAATCTGCACGTATTTTTTTAATATTTGAACCTAATTTTTAATTATCCTCAAATTAAAACATGGAAAAATCTCTCTTACAAATATCAAATATTTTTAATTTTTATAATAATTTAACCTTGTTTCAAGTTGGTCGAGTTGACCTAACAAAAAAAAAATATATCAACTAAGAATTAATTCGAATTTTTCAATTTTCCAAAAATCCAACTTAAACGAGAATTTTAACCCAACCCACTTTTATGATTTGATTTGATTAGTTTATAGGGGTCCGGCAGCTTCCTTAAGTAAAAATATTAGACTTGGAGAATAGTAAGGCAGGAACGAAAGAGAGTCGCACTCTTTTAGGTCACCCTAATAAGCGTTCATGTCTTAATTTTCATTTGAAGGTTAAGATGGTAATATCACAAATCCTGCACACAACAAAATTTCATAACCAACGAGTAAAATTAATGCACAACTCACATCACAGAAGAACCTGCACAATCTGTTTCTTAAACAAGGTAAACCCAATGATACAACCAAAAAGGAATAATGAGATTGAAGCTGGTTGTTCTTGCTCACGACTTAAATTTGATTGCTGTTCGATCCTCGTTCAGAATTCAGAAACTCAATCTTTCAAAGACTTTCCACGAGACAGAGGCTCCACTGCCGTTTTGAAGAGAAGGATGTAAACTTTATCGATTGAAAAATACAAGAACCCACCCAGAGAATGTGTTACATACGACCCAAAGCTAGTTCCCACGATGCAATGCCATGCTGGACCATAGGACGAATCAAATTCCTGCAAAACCCATACAACCTCGTTAACAACATCAAACTTAAAAAGGCAACAATAAACCTTTCAAATGTTAGCTCTTATCCACGGGGAATGAGGATTGTTGGGAGGGAGTTCCTCTTGGCTAATTTAAGTAAGGAATACTATTTCCATTGGTACGAGACTCTTTGGGAAAACCCAAAGCAAACCCATGAAAGCTTATACTCAAAGTAGACAATATCATGCCATTGTGGAGAATCTTAACCGGGAATGGGTTGATCCAAGCAACAGAAAAAAAAAAATGCCTCAACTTGAACAAGGATGGTTTCATTCTTGTAAATAATTATTTTGTTGTAATGAATATAGGCTCTGCCCAAGCCACTGTAATGATTATGTTTTTCGTGAGGTTTGTTTTCCTCAAGAATGGTAAGAGAGCTTGAATATTTAACAACAAAGATTTCAGACGTAATCTTTGCGAATCATTACAATTAAACAAAAAACACATGGCACAGGGACAAAACTACATGTGAAGTAGAAAATGGCAAATTCAGGGGAAAATTCAACGGCCTAAGAGAAGAATAAGATGGGCTCCTCTAAAATCTAGTGTTTAAATATAGCATCTAGTATTTGACAATGACTCCAATCTCCTTGTTCCGACAAGTTTTCTGGAGAACCAGAGAACAGTCAGAGGGCAGCTGGCCAGTGTCAGTAGTGGATGGCTATCAACTATGATGGAATTAATGGTGGGCAGCAAATTGCCACTGGAAGGAATTGCCATGTCCATTGTCCACAACTTTTTTCATGGCATCCCCTCTCTACGGTAGTACAAGTCTAGAGAGGACTCTAGAGCAATAAAGAACATTTAATTTGCTACACAAAATTGGAATTGAAAGGTCAATCCCAAAGTTTGGAAGTGCTCAAATCAGGAAAAACATGCACAGTTTACAGAGGTAGTTAATTAACTATGTTGTAAAATCCCAAAAGAGGAACAAGTGCAACAAAATTCAGAAACCATTAATGTTCAACCTAAATTTGTAGAGATCCCAGAAATCCCAGACTTCAAATGGCGAAAATAAATTTAGTTCATACCAAATAGACATTTCATCAAACACATTCCAGGCAGTACTCAAAAACAGTCCAATAACCATCCTATAAAACTCCCCCTAACCCAAAATGGCAACCAGGAAAGCGCATTTCAGAACCAAAAGTGAGTTCAAGGGTATAGTTTTTTTAATCTTTTTTTTCCTTACCTTTTTTAGGGTAAGAGCGAGGCGTTTGCTGTCGAGCTTCCCAGGCATGGAATCGAGCAGTTCACGAGCGCAACTAAAAGCGCGATTCTGGAGAGGAAACGGCATATCGGAGGCTCTAACGCGAATATTGAGACGATCGCGGTGCTCTTGATGCTCCCCCGCCTTCTTCTTCAAAATAAGCCCATTCAGAAACTTGCTGCGTCGCTCAAGCTCCATTTCCGCTCCCTCCATGACCCAACAACACTACAATCTCATCAAATGGGGGAAAAAACCGAACCCCACCTTCTTCTTCTACTTCTTCGAATTAAAAGGCGATGCAGGACGGCATTGGTGATAGACAAAATGTGTGGCGGAAGAAGGAAGAAGACAAGGGGAAGGGGAAGAAAAGGAGAAACAATGGCGCCAGGGAGGAAGCCGAAGGCAGTGGAGGGTTGGAATTGCGAGACAAAAATCAATTTTTTTTATATATAAATTTTATTGGGTTGGTGTTTGTGGGATTCTGTCTTTGAACCATCGCATTGGTCAAAGACGAAATCCAATAAAATTCCCACATTTTTATTGCTAATTTATGCTTAGATACCCACCAAACCCAACACCCGCCTTTATTTATTTATTTATTTATTTATTTATTTATTTATTAAGTTCCTATCTATCTAATATCTTAATCATATTTTAACATATAATTTATATACAAATTTCATCCTTAATCAATTTTTCAATTTATCCATCTGTATTTATAAAATGTATTCACTAAATTTTAATAATATTTTCATAATGTTATTAATTAAAGTTTAGGGATTAAATTACATAAATTTAAATATTTAAGGACAACATGGTTGAACCAAATTATTGCTTCCAACCCAATAAACTAACAAAAAAAAAAAAAAAAAAATGTTCATGTCTTAAATGGAGACAAGGATGGAATATATTCTTTGTCCTAATTCTCCACCGTTTTGTGCTATGGTCTGATATCATGTTAGGAATAACAATTCTTCACAATAGTATGATATTGTTCACTTTGTGCATAAGCTCTCATAACTTTATTTTGAGCTTTCCTTACGTATAAACTCATGACCATTCTCTAAATTGGCCAATGTGGGACTCCCTTCCAACAACTTCAACATGCACCACCTGATATATGCATGAAAAGTTATGACAAAATGATATGATATAAAGGAAAGCGGAAGTGGGGTTCTTGTACATGATAATGAAAGGAAAAATGTTAGGGACCTCATGCATCATTGTGTGTTCATGCATCGGGGATCCCCTACTTCTTTTTAAGATAGTATGGACACATACGCTACAAGGCAGGGAAACAATATTATATTTATTATAATGCTGCGAAGGTCGCTATTCCTAACAGTTGTCCGACATCAACAGCTCAAGAGAATACTCGCCCGACAAGAAAGGGGCCTAGAGGTGTGCAAATTGACTGGTGAGTCCATAATTGCACGTGTGGACCGTATGTAGAATAGTAAATACACATCAAATTACCCACTTAGAATAGTTGCATAAGAAAATATAGAATAATTGTATGTGCTTGCATCTAACTTTAATAGCGGGGTCACTTACTAAGTATTTCTTAAAATACTCAAGTCATGTGCTACTCTTATTTTCCAGCTAAAGACAAGGCTCCCCTGTACGACTAACAGTGACATCGCAACTAAGGAGACCATGACACATTCATAGTGTAGTTTGCAATTTAAATTTTGTAGATTATAGGTTAGTATCCATTTAATTTTATAGCATATAAGTCAGTATAGGACATTTTTGCTTTATGTTATTTCAATTTTTGATATTTTATTTAAAGACCTTCTAGAGAACATGCAAGTCCATGACTATGGTTTTATGATAAAGTTTGAATGAAGTATTTCTACATAAAATGTCTAGCAACTTTAGGTTAAGTAAAAATCTAGGGTCGTTATAAGTACCCATCATTGATCGAGCATGAATTTGTGGGGAGCAAAACCATTTTTTGGGCATTGATTGTCAATCATACATGTCAAAATGATCAATTTTGAACATTCCTTATAACAATGTCAAAAAATATTGATCCTAACTTTGTTTTTTCACGTGTGTGCAATCCTATAGGCTATTTTTCTTCGAAATTGATGTTCGATTACTGTTTCCTAAAAGAATATTATGATATTGGAAATAGAAAGTAGATTTTTGGAATTGCACTAAAATGCGAACAAAAAATTTTCAATAGTACCTTGACATCGATCGAACAACTATCTTGACGTTGGTTATCAATCATAATTTAAAGTTTAATAGAAGGGGTTAAATTACCAATTTAGTTTATATATAGTATGCTGAATAATATATATACCTAGAAAAAAAATTAAATCATTAAAAAACAGTGAAAAAACGAAAAAAAAAATAGTGAACCACAATAAAACAAAATTAAAAATAAGATTATAAATATAACCAAAGAAACATTACAATAATGAGATGGTTCATTTTTAATTGCTCAATGGAGAAGCAGTCGGAATGTTTAAAAGTAACGGCAGGGTGACCTTAGCGCACCACCACAATCTCTAGTACAACTAACTTTTCTTTTAATTTCACTTTTCCTTTTTACCGAAGTTCAATGATGGGCCGAAAAGTACGCGAGTAGGCCCACCAAAGGAGCATTGATGTACGTAGTGGGCTCCGACTCTTCAAAGAACGACCTCGAATCCGGAAACGCATCCGACACGTTGGGCCCACCCACTACAGCTCCGACTAACACATTCGGGTTGGGGTTCGGACTCAGAAAGTAACGAGAACCCGCCTTGCACCCGATCCGGCCCGGGTGGGCCTGAACCGACGGCAACGAACTAGCCCGGTGATGAATCCTGCGAGGGTAGCGCGTACCGTATCCAACCATGTAGGACATCGCCAGCGGATTATCGCCCAGAATAT